TTCTATAACCAGTAGTTTGCTTTCTTTCATTTCTTTCATTTGTGACATGTTTCTTTGTCTCCGCATTTTGGCTGCTTCCCTGTGTTTGTTTCTATGTATTGGGTAGAGCTGCTATGTCTCCTTGAGTTGGTAGAGTGGCCTTGTGTAGTAGGTGTTCTATCAGTCCCAGTGGCCCAACCTCCCCAGTCACCTGAGCAGGGCACTCTTGGTGCACCCTTTTGTGGGCTGTGAGCACAGTCTTCTTGTACTTGAGACTTGATTGCTGTTGGTGTCACTGGGAGGAATTGACCTCCAGGACAATTGGCTGTGAGGACCAGCTTCCACTACAGTGGGAGAGCTGCTGTGCAGGAGACCCCCCTATGGAGCAGGACTTGCTTTAGTGGGGCTCTGGTGCTCGCTGAGTCTGCCTCTTGAGTGTGTCACTTATGGATGTGAAGAGTTGTAATCTGGTATGGTCTCACACTGACCACTGGGTACATTGGCTCTTGGATCTCCAAGGAGGTGCAAAGTCAACCACTGCCTGGGGCCACCCAGCAGGAGCTACAGAGAGATCTGTAGATTCCTTCTCTTTGTATCGGGTTTGGAAGTGCCAGATGAGGCCCAGCTATGCAGCAAGGCCTGGAAAAGGACAGGCTATTCATATGCAAAAGCCACTGCACACAGCTTGGGTGGGGTTGTAAATTGGATGAGATGGGGTCTTAGGGAATCATGAGGGCAGAGCAAACAGAAATGGCTGCCAGTCAGCCCTGCCATGGGGAGATCCCAGCATAGGAACATGATCCCTGCAAGCACCTGTCTGAGAGAAAGCCACCCCCAAGTTCCTGCCCTGATGCCAGACAATCCAGTTCCTCCTCATATGTGTCTGTGTTGCCCAAAGCCTCACCCTGGTGCTGGAGCTCAGAGGAAGCAGGACCTTGTAAGTTCAGTTCATGGTGCTAGCCTTTTAAGAGGAACAGCTGGGTCTCCAGCAGCCTCTGTGTCACTGAGCCCCAATCCACACTGGTTTTCACAGCCCGAGTTCTTACTGCCCATAGGGACTTCTTTTCCAAGCTCTTGGACTCTGGGCTGGGGGTCTGGTCGGGGGCTGAGACCCCTTGCTCCTTTGGGCAGCCTCCACAGAGATGATCTCCCTCCGGATTAAAAAGCACCACACAGGGTGCCAGGCCAGCCCATTTCACGCTTCTGCACTTCCTACCAATTCAGTATGCTTTCTTCTTTACTTCTCTAGTTGTAGGACCTCCATTCAGCCAGCTTTCCAGCTGTTCTGGATGATGGTTGCTCTGTATTTTAGTTATAATTTTGACATGGTTGTGGGAGGCAGTGAGTACAGATGTTTGCCAACACCACCATCTTCCTTTTCTCTACATTGGGATACATTTTAATTTTACACTGTATCACTGCATAATACTAAGATAACACAGCTTCAAATTGTTAATAAAATTACTTTCACACATTCACATAACTCTCAATTGCTTGGTGATAAAAACTACTTAAATTAACCAGAGACTATCCTTATTTGGTACATACAGATGCTACAATAACTAACTTGTAGTTAGTTGGCTCTAATGTGCTTTGTGATGAACCCAGGACTTTCAGAGCCTGTAAATGTGGGGGGAAACTTAAGACACTGTGGGTGGGGACCCTAGAGCATGCTCTGTTTAAGGTATCTAACTCCAATACAAAACAAAAATAGCAACAAATTTAAAAATTACAAAAGCATGTGCATAGAAAGAAAATGTTTCCCTACCACTGGCCCATTGAAATAGTTTTTTATGGTTAGCCTATCATTTTTTAAGGTTTTATTTTGACATAATTTTAGACTTACAGAAAAGTTGCAAAGATATATAAGTTCAACATACTCTTTACCCAGACTCCTTAAATATTTAAATTTTACTAAATCTGCTTTATTCTTTTCTCTCTATTCTTCTCTGAACCATTTATTAGTAAATTGCAGACACACCCTAAATACTTCAGCATATATTTCCTTAAAACAAGGAATTATCTTACAGAACCATAGTACAATGATCTGAATCGGAAAATCAACATTGATACAATCATCTAATCTACAGACCTTAATTGAGATTCATCAACTACCCAATAATGTCCTAACAACAATATATATATATATTCCAATACCAATCTTTGCATTCAGTTGTTATGTCTCCAATATGGGAATATTTCTGAGTCTTTGCATTTCATGGCATTGACATTGTTGAAGAATACAGGCCAGTTTCGTAGAACATCCTCAATTTGGGTTTGTCTGATGTTTCCTCAGACCTAGACTAAAGTTATTTAATTCAGGGCCAGAATAACACAGACATGGTGTTGAATTCTCAGTGTATCAAATCTCACTGTCAACTAGTTCCACTACTGCCAGTAAACTCTGACCATTTGGTTAAGGTGGTGCCTGTTGTCCACCACCAGAGATCATCAGCCAGACTTCCACACCTTATGTAATTCACAACTATCTTCTGGGGGAAATATCTAGATTATGCTAATATTCCATTATCCCTCGAATTTTCATCCTCTAGTTATGACATGC